CTTCTCATGATATGACATGGACATTTCTTCCACTGGGGATCATGGGTGGTGGTAGCATCTGCAGTTCCTTCCCTTGAATCTGAGTGGGGCTGTGACTATAGCAAAAGGCATGTTATCTGCTTTCTGAGGCTGGGCTATAAAAGATAAAGCTGTGTCGACCTGCTCCTCTTGGAACCCAGCCACCATGCTGCCAGGAAGCCCAGGTAACCAGGCAAGGCTCCATGTAAGTATTCTGGCTGACAGCCAACAGCCAGTATCAACCACCAGGCCTGGGAGTGAGGAAACTTTGAGATGACTCCAGCCCCATCCCTGGCTGACTGCAACCACATGAGAGCCTCCAAGTAAGAACTGCCAACCTACCTGAGTCTACTCAGTCCCCAGAACTGTGAGAGATGATAATAGATCATAGTTTTAAGTCACCGAGTTTTAGCTTTACTTGTGATGCAAGTAAGGTGACTGGAACATCCAACAGATCTTATTCATTTCTAAGACTACACTCTTGCTTACAACATTTTACGCCCGCAACTCTGCCACCCCTCTTCCCCCATCTTAACGTATCAAAAACCTTCCTGTTGATCAAGGACCAGCTCAATGCTGCTTCCTTCATGAAACCTTTCCTAACTATCACATTTAACGGTGCTCTGTTTTCTCTGTACTCTGGATACTTTGCATATTTTCACCATGATTAATAAGTCATTTGGGGAGGACTCCCTTCCCCCATCAGTCATTTTATAAAAGTATTTTAATATAGTTTAAAAAACAGTACATGCTTTTGTCAAAACTACAAACAATACAGAAGTCTATACTTCAGAAAGTGCCTCCAATCTGTCTTGCTCTATCTCACTCCAATTTACCCCCACAGTATTCCTCACAACCTCTTCTACACATACATTCACACGTGCGAACACACACACTTTTCACATAAACAGGATTCCATCACAATACTGTTTTGTAAAATGCTTTTTTCAGTCAAAGGTGTATTGTAGGTATCTTTCTTTCAGTTAATACCCATTGACCTCATACTTTTTAATAGCTGTGTAGTACTTCCTATTTAACCAATATCCTATTTATTGAATTTAGGTTTCCCCCCCAAGTTTTCCTTATTGAAAACAAGACTGTATTGCCATTGGATACATTCCTAGGAGAAGAACTGCAGCAGTTTAAAAAAATGCACCTTTTAATTTTTGGTATAAATTCTTAAAATCCTCTTCAGAAAGAGGTAATGATATCCCCATCAACAGCAAAGGAGAATACTGTGACATTCTCTGACACTGAATATTGTCAAGCTTTTAAATCTTTGCCAACTTGTCAGGTGAGGGATGAAAGCTCCTGATTTTTAACTTACAGTTTTGTTATTACTGAGGTTGAGAAGCATTTCACATTTTATGAGTCCCTGTATTTCTTCCACCATGAATTTTATCTGCTATGTGCTTTGCCCATTTTTCTATGGAGTTTTTAAGTTTTAGTTGTTTTGTTTTGTTTGTTTTTTAAAATAGGAGCTTTTTAATATTGTCTATATACAGTATATAAAAGCCTAATATGCAAATTGTCCCCATGGGAGTTTGACTGAGAGACTGATTGCTCACTATGATGGGTGCTGACCACCAGGGGGCAGTGAGGAATGAAGGAAGGCCCTGGCTGGCAGCTGGCAGCCAGCAGCTGGGGAAGGGAGGCCCTGGCCGGCAGCCAGGAGGCCCCAAACGGCCCTGATCGCTGGCCAGGCCTAGGGATCCTACCCGTGCACTAATCCTACCCGGGCCTCTAGTGGATAATAAATGTCTTAGTCTGCTCAGGTTGCTATATTAAATGCCATAGACTGGGTGACTTATTAAAAACATCAATGTATTTCTCACAGTTCTGGAGGCTGCAAGTCCAAGATCGGGGTGCCAGCATGCTTGAGTTCTTGTAAGGCCCCTTCTGGGTTGCAGACTGCTGACTTCTTGCTGTGTCCTCACATGGTGAAAGGGGCAAGGGATCTTTCTGGATCTCATTTTATAAGGCACTAATCCCATGCATGAGGTCTCCACCCTCATAACTCAAGCACTTCCCAAAGAGCCACCTGCTAACACTCCCATTTAGGGGGGTTAGATTTCAATATAGTAAACCCTCGATTTTAGGAACCTCAATTTGATGGACTTTGGGTTTAACAGACAAAATTTCAGGCCCATATGTCATATGTGAAAATCAACACCCTGTTAATTTTTAAATGCTTATAATTAAACTAGTGGCCCAGTGCACAGATTCGTGCACATTGAAAGGAAATTAATTAGAAGAAAGATTCGTGTGGTAATTACGTTACTGCAAAAAATTACATGTCAAAATCCTATATAATAAAAGGCTAACATGAAAATTGACCGAATGGCAGAATGACCAGTCGCTATGATGTGCACTGACCACCAGGGGGCAGGCGCTTAATGCAGGAGCTGCCCCCTGGTGGTCAGTGTGCTCCCACAGTGTGGGGGAGGGTGGGCACTGCTCAGCCACAAGCTGGGCTGACGGCTGGCGAGCGCAGTGGCAGTGCTGGGAGCTGTCAGTCGGACATCCCCCGAGGGCTCCTGGACCACTAAAGGGCACAGGCCGGGCTGATGGACCCCTCCCCACCCTGAGTGCACAAATGTCATGCACCGGGCCTCTAGTAGTATATATAATATAGTATTATAAAATTAAAACACATGTGCGATTGGCACCAGCGAGAGCTTTATATGTATCACGCATGTGCGAGTCAAAGTTTATTTTTAAATTGCCAGTGCGCATCATATATACTGGCTGGTCAGACGGATGGTCAATGAATAAATCGCGATGTGGTTCACGATGAATATCAACAAAAACAACCAAATTCACGATCGACAATGACAGATCGAAATACATGTGTGCAATTGGCACCAGTGAGAGCTTTATATGTTTTGTGCATGCATGAGTCAACATTTATCTTGAAATTGCCAGTGCACATCATATGTCCCGGCCGGTCGGCTGGTCAGCCATACGTATGGTTGGTCACTCAGCCTTTTATACATATAAATTAACAGGTTAGTTTTTGTTATTAATTCACTGTTATTTTAAACAAATTTTAATGAGTAGGCCATTATATTGAAAAATACACTGTAGTAATTTCACTGACATAAATAAATAGTATACAGTATATCCACAACATATTTAAATCCAAGAGTCACTGCTCCTAAACAATGTTCTGTGAATAATCACACCACATCACAGGCAGTAGGTAATTGGTTCTGCATGGTGTGACTTTCTGTAGCAGTCTTTTAAAATACATGTATGTTTTTATTGATTTTAGAGAGAGGGAGAGAGAGTGATAGATACATTAATGATGAGAGAATCATCAATTGGCTGCCTCCTGCATGCCCCCTACTGGGGATTGAGCCTGCAACCTGGGTCTGCCCTGACTGGGAATCAAACCACAACTTCCTGGTTCATGGGTCCACACTCAACCACTGAGACACACCGGCCAGGCTCTGTAGCAGTTTTAACATCTGCTGTCCATGTTCTGATGTGCGCTAAGCCATAGCCCAGCCGTGTGCATCTGTTTACCCTCGGTGACTGGTGAATGCACATATTTAGGAGACCTATTCAGTATAAATTTAAAATGACAGTAATACATACAGAAAACTTTTCCATGAAATTAAACTTTTCATACATAATTAATTTTAGTTACACAAACGTGCCTACATAAGTAAAAATAGGTAGACTAATTTGTCAATTTTTTAACATATGCACTAGGAAAACCTACTTCATTATATAACAGGCTTTCATCTTTAATGGACACATGAATTAGCCCATTATATCGAGGTTTTACTGTATATGAATTTTGGGAAACCCAAACATTGAGTCTATAGCAGCAAGCCTTTTCTATATTGCTTTGCAAGTATTATTTATCTGTTTGTCCGTTGTATTTATTTATGGCACCTTTTGCTTCTAGAATTTAAAAAGGTTTGTGTAGTTAATCCTATCTGTTTTTTGCTAAGCCATTAGGCACAAGATTTTTTTTAATAAAGCCTTCTATATATTTCCAATATTATATAAATAAATATATATTGTTTCAGATGTTTTACAGAAAAAGCCAAACATTGAAAAAAGCAATCATTAAATAGCTCAGATAACCCTTTTTTTGAGACATTCTTATGTACTAACAAATCTAAATTCTTAGGAACTCATTGATAAAAATTCATTTATTTCTTGGAGAAATAATTATGACACATTCCTGTATACCAAGCTTTTTCCTAGGCTTCTGGTATACAGCGGGACTTGTTGAATGGAAGTAAGAATATAAGGGTTAACAGGCAAAACACCTCATGTAGCATTTTTATAAACAAAATGAATCAATCTCTGTGGCTCTCCCCTGAGCTTATATAGTTTGTGGACTCATTCCTCTCATTACATTTAATCTTTGCTCTAACTCTTGAATTAAATGTCTTTCCACTTCACTAAAATATAAATGACTTATGGTCAAGAAATGTCTCTCATTTACCTTTGAATTCCAGGTATCCAGCTAGGTATTTGGCCCATTGTAACAGCTCAAGAACTATATTGTTAAATAAACAGATTTCCCTACTTTATAAATTGTCTCTTCTCAAATAAATATTCATAATCCTGCCTCCCTCCCCTCCTTCTTTGCCCCACCACCCCAAATAAAAACCAACACTAGTTTTATGTTTTAAAAAAACCCTCAAATCCCGAAAGACTGATGTTTGCATATGTGATACTTGATCAAACACACTTAGTTCATAAGAAAGACTCAATTAAAAATATTGCATAGCTACAGATAAAAAATGTTGTTCAGAAAAGTAATAGGGGAATGCTATATCCCTGTAAACACAAATTCACTGCAAGCATTTTTGGAGAACTTACAAATGTTCTGATCTTGTAACGAAAATCGAAGTGAAACCATAAGTAAAAGCCAGAGTTATTCATTAACACTGGAGAAACATCAACTTACAAGTATGGGCAGAAACCAAGTTGCAGAGCTGAGGATTTATGATTCTCACCTGAGTCTTGCTGGGAACAATGTTGTCTTGTTCTGCTCTGAGTATATGCCCGAGTTCAGGGAATCTCTTTTCAGGGGTTTCTAACTTCAGGGCTTAACTGGGAGGCTGAGATATATTTCCATCCTCTGGAACAGAGACCTGCTCCTGCCTCTCTGGAAATGAATGAACAGTTACAGCCCTTGGTTACAATTAGTTTTCGCTTTTGGAGCATTTCCCAGGGGTGATATGTGAATGCCTCAAGGAGGAAGTTGCGAGGCAGATCTGGAAGCTGGGGCTCTGCAGAAGCAAATGTGCTCTTGTGCGATGCGGCTGTGACACAGTATGTGCTAAAATGTAAATAACACAGCAAAAGCATCAAGTGTCCCCCTCCCCCTTTTAAATCAGAGGTCTATTCTGAGCAGTTATAGACATACACACATGTAGATGCATTTATATTTCTGTTAGGCAAAAACCTGAAATCACGTGAACAATGAGTCAGGCGTTATTACTGTTGTCGGAAAGACCATTAGCACAGTGCTCCCCCCACCCCCGCCCTCCGTGAGTGACCAGCACCAAGCCCTCCATCAGAAGCTGGAAACCCTGGAATTCACATGGCCAATTATGCAATACTGGACCACTGGGAAGCATTTCTGGCTGGCTCAGCTGGTGATCCACTTTTACCCTGCAGCACCACGATTGATAGACCTTGTAATTTTATCCTGGTTAGTGCAGATGCTGTTCTTAGCTAAGTTTTTATTTTTAAAAACTCTTTTTCTCAAAAACAACAACAAAGACCTAGCCCTAGCCATTTTTTCCCAATGGTTAGAGCATCGGCTTGGGGAATGGTCTCAGGTTGGATTCAGGTCAGGGGCATGGATTGTGGGCTCAATCCAGGGCCCCTAGTTGGGGCACGTGTGGAAGGCAACCAATTGATGTGTGTCTCTTACATTGATGTTTTTCTCTCTCTGTCTCTCCCTCTCCCTTCCACTGTGTCTAAAAATCAATGGAGAAAATATTCTAGGGTGAGGATTAACACCACCACCAACAACAAAAAAACCTACCCCGTTCCCAAGTGGCTTGTCTTCATGACACCTCTTGGTGGTGAGATCAGTACCCTGATCACTGGCTAGGGGAAAAAAAAATCTCTTTCGAGATTTCAGAATTCTCAGTAGTTTAACTTCACTGAATGCTGTGTGTGTGCTTGTTTATGAGAATGAATGAAAAGAAACAGTATTTGGCCCCCTCTAAATCACTCCTTTTATGAGGCTTCTTTGGGTGTGGGGGGGATGGGAAAGAGACTTGTTCTTAGAAGGCACAGAATACAAATTCAGGAGTGTAGTTTCTCTCATGCTAATGATGAGGCATAATTTTAAAGCATCACATTCATATGTATATATGGGACATACATACATAATTAGTACATTTACAAAGTACCTTGCAGAACCTTAGAACTGGGTAGTTCCATTAACCCTTAAAGGGAAAGTTGGAGTTCAGCTCAGTTAAGAGCAATGGAATGTGCCCCCTTTCCATTAGATTCACATAGCATTCAGGTCTTGGAAAGAGACCTCCAAAGAAGTGAAATACTTTTTTTTTCCTGAAGAACTGTAGCAGTCTGTTCCATATTTATCTATTTCTGCAGTTTTAATTACAAAATAAGCACTAGCTACTACAAGGAATAACTACACTAGCCAAAAAGACTTTTATAATCTGAGAGAAATGCTCCCATATTGACTACACTAAGAAAAACAACTCCCCTTGCCTTGATTATAAAGAAGGAAGACAGATGGCTTCTTGTTTAAGGCTGTAATTTTACTTTCAGCCTCCTCCCTCCGTTAAAAACAGAATGTACTCTGAGGCTTTAAGGGGAAAAATCTCAAGGGAAGGTTTTTGTTTTTTTTTATTCCTGGCTACACTGAATAATTCAACACACATT